AAGTGTAGAGATATTCACTCTTCCAGACGCCGTCAACTGGCGTTCGATGTGATGGCTCTCTGAATTCTGTTTTATGCGATTTAGATTGTCCAACTCGCCCTCTTGAAAATGGCACTTCCAGGAAAGAGTGGGTTAAGTCCCATTACACCCACTGTACGAAAATGCAGATCAATCAAGAGTGCTCACTTTCAGCTGTATCCTGGAACACCGTAATGATACAAAGAAATTACTGAACATAATGGTTTATAGGTCTAAGGCATGTACTGTCTTCGCTTGCTCAGAAGCCGGAATCGTGGGTTCGCATCCCACACAAGGCCTGGATGTTTGATATGTGTATGTGTTGTCCTGTGTTTAGGTAGAGGCTTTGCGACGAGCTGATCACTCGTCCAAGGAGTCCTGCCGTCTATAAAATGATAATGAAACTGAAAATCAAAGGCCAGTGCCCAATGGGGGCTGTAGAACCAGTAAAAAAAAAGTTTATAATATTTCTGGTAATGCGCACTTAAATTTAGAACAGTACTGATAATATTTCCGATTTTATTGTAGGCAAGGACCACACTAATATCTACACTACTGTCTGAATACAAAATACAGGCCTGTGGTTCTGGTAGAATATGGTACAATATTCGCTTAATTACGATTATGCCTACACCGTACCGCATTTTATTGTTATTATACTTTGCATGATGAAATATTTTCTTTCCAATATTTTCCGAATATCAACTATCTGGACTTGAAGAATCTCACTAATANGCCAATCTTAATTCCACCAATTGCTCCACAATCACCCTCACCTATCATCTGGGGCTGGTACAATAGGCCAGAAGTGGCAGCAGTACAAAGGACTTAGTCCCACCCCACTAGCAATAAAACAAATGTTAAGCTCTCACCACGGCTCTTGGTTGATGATCTTCTCTGGGGTCTATGTAATGTGTGGAAGTGGGTAATGTAGCCGACTTCTCGGAGGTACATGCTGCCCCTTTTTCAACATCGGAGCAGCTAGAATTCAGATAACGTATTTGAGAATAACATTAATAAATCAAAATCAAATTTACGAATATTTAAGCACAAAAGAAGTTCAGAGGATAGATGCTAAGATTCAGTTCCGATATATATTTTTCTTACTCTTCTCATTTCTATATGTCTAAAGATAAAATAGTAAGAAAAAATACATGCTATCTGTGTTGGCACGAAACTTATATTCTTATCTCAAGAAATGAATGTGACATTTCTGAGGACATTGCAAGTAATAGGAGTCGGGAAAAAATTGCATAAGGAGGAGCTTCATAATTTATACTTTCCACTAAATATTATTGGAACGATCAGTTGAAGGAGTATGAAGCATACATGGGACAGATGATAAATGCTTACAAATTTTAATCGGAAATTAAGAAGAAAGGAAATCTTTTGGGAAGCTTAGGGTTAATGGGAGGATGCTGTTAAATGGATGCATATGTTGTGTACGGGGATGCGGACTGGATTCATCAGGTTCAAGATAGGGACTACTGGCAGGCTTTTCTGAAAATGGCAATAAAACTTCGTGTTCCGTAAACGTCGGTAATTTCTTGAATAGCCTTAGAAGAACGATTGTACTGCATGGAAGTGTTTGTATTTTAATATTCACAGATAATATACAAGAATATACAGTTGTTGTCTGATGAATTGGAAATGCTTTCTTCTACTTACTTACTTACTTACTTACTCACTCATGGTGCTGAGCCCTTCTGGAGGAGCCGCCAATTCTGCAGCTACTCAAGAATTTCCCAGCCTTTTATGGAACCCGAAGGTTCATCACCGTGTTCACAAGAGCCCTCCACTGGTCCCTATCGTGAGCCAGATCTATCCAATCCATACCATCCCATCCTATCTCTCTAGGATCCATTCTAAGATTGTCCATCACCTACGCCTTGGTCTTCCCTTGGTCTATTTCCTTCTGGCTTTCTTGTACAGGCTGCTAATATTTTCAGAATAGATAATATAGAATATGTATCAGACTACTATAAAATCACTATTTTAGCTTCTTCTCCTTCCTGGGGGTTGAATGAATGTAAATATATTGTAATGTAACACAAGTTTTGTTTCTTATTTCCCTTTTCTGCAAAGTCAACATGGCTGAAGGATTGCCAAGTGACTGAACGGTGTATATACCGTTCCTAAATTGGTTTTTATCTCACTGGGTTTATGTTGCCAACAACTGTATGTAGGAGATATTAGTGGGACTTAATTCCCTTCATGAAAAGACAAAATTCAAGGGGAATGGGACAAGTGAGGTTAACTGAGCTGTCAAGATACATATCTTCTGATGATTACGTGTCAGGTAATATTTAACTGTTAGGAATGCGCAGATGCTGCATCTCATAGAGATACTTGTTTCTCTTCGGTAAATGTAATTGTTGTAGCAACTTTGAGCAAGACAAGGCAAGATATGAATACTCAGGAAAATATGAGTTCTCTGGGGAATTATACATAAACTCTGAAAATGTGACTTGTTATTTCATCTTTCATGTATTGCATTGGAGCGTAGTTAAACGTGGAGAGCCGAAAGGCATATACATGTGTGAAGGAATTAGATTCTGGGCAAACAAATGCAGTTATTTCAGCCCATTGCTGTACTGATTGTTCTTCAATCCTGTCCTAATGTTTTTATTCTTAATATGGTGTTGTGTAGTGCAGCCTGTAAAAACTCAAGTATCTCATCCGAATTCATTGCATTTTAATTATCACATTTGCTGTCCCTGTTACAGGCCGTGAAGGCCCATAGGTTTGTGAGACGTCGAGGCTCCAACATTTTCTCTAGACAGTCGGCTCACAGATGGCGGTAAGGTTGTCAGCCTTAAGCGATGGCTGCCCTTTACCCCCCAAGAAGAATCCTGGTACTCATTATGTTAGAGTCTGAGTCGAACCCAGGTCCATATTGTGGCTGGAAGGATTAGGTAAATTGAAAAAAATCCACTTCATCTGGACTCGAACCGCGAACTTCCGGTTTGTAGCATAGTGCCTCAACGTTTGCCGTAGTTGCCTAAAACAAACTTCCACATAACAAAATAGGAAATGAAAATGGAAATGAATTTCAGCTGCGTCTATCTCTTATTTTAGTTTTAAGGTTAGAAATTATACTAGGGGCGTTCCGTAAATAATGCCTCCTATTCTTTTGTGTTAATATGTGACGTCTGAGATGGATGTTGGTGGTATTGTAGTAAAGGTTGAACCTTCCCGCCAATCTGCTGTTAGTTTGGTTGTCGTGCGACAGATAGTGACAGCAGAGCAGTCTACCAAAATGGTGTCTGACATATAAGTGCGTATGAAACAGAGATGTGTTGTTGAATTTCTCACTGCCGGACAAATTATACCCATTGTCATCCATCGACACTTGCTAAAGGTGTACGGAGACAATACAGCGGATGTCAGCACAGTGAGGCGGTGGGTAGTGCGTTTCAACAGTGGCGAAAGTGAAGTGCACGACAAGCCACGCCATGGACGTCCCTACTCAGCTGCCACTCCTCACAATGAACAGCGCCTCATCCGAACAGATCAGCAAATAACGACCAGGAACTGTTAATTCTGAACGCTACAAGACGACGCTGACTAAGCTGAAAGCCCGCATTTCCCGAGTCAGGCCAGAGAAGCAGACAACCTTTCGCTTGCAACACGATAACGCTAGACCCCATAGAAGTTTGGCAACCACCGCGCACATTGCAAAGTTTGGCTGGACTGTCCTACCACATCCACATTATAGCCCCGATTTAGCACCTTCAGACTTCCGTCTCTTTGGGCCTATGAAAGACGGACTACGTGGGCAACATTTTCCAGACAACGATGCTGTCATTGCAGCTGTAAGAAAGTGGCTAGCCTGTGCTGGCGCAGACTTTTACGGGCGCGGCATACAGGCTCTTGTTCATCGATGGCAAAAGTGCATAACGAATGGTGGTGATTATGTGGTAAAATAGCTGTAAGTAGCTGAAATCTTGCTCTATTTAACTGCATTATTATGCTTTCTGTATATGTCATAGTTTTCTTTAAAAAAATTGGAGGCATTATATACGGAACGCTGTAATATTTTACCATGGGAATGGAAGAATAATACATGTATATTTTCTAAATTAAAAGCAGCACTGAATTGGCTAAGAACAAAATTTAAGCCTTATGTTAGATGTATGAAATTGAAACAGTGTTCCATAATCATTTCTTAAATTTTCTGCAATATCAGCTTCATAGAAGGATCATAACTAAATTTTCATTGTTAATCATTTTTCCTCCAATGAATCGTCCAATAGAGGCAGTTCGATAGCGAAGTGTATTAATTGACGGGGGATACTTTACAGCGCCGTCAGGAATTAGACTTTAAGAAATCGAATTGGAGGATGAGTGATGAGTTGGGAAGGATTGGAAAGAAGTGCATGTGGCCTAATCGAGGCATATACCTAGAAGGGGTGAGTAAACAACGAAAAACTTCAAGTCAGATAGTCGGTGTCCCAACCGATATTCGAACCGAGAATCTCCAGAATGCAAACACAAAGCGTGACCACTACGTCACCCCCTCGGACATGATTACTTGCATAGTGTATATCTGTATCCATGGGTATAAATCGCGCTTGAAAAATTTTCCATTGATACATCATCTTAAAATGGCAGAATAATAAACCAGCTTCACTGTGTCATATAAAGGAAGCGGGATAGCGCAGTCGGTATAGCGACTGGCTAGGGGTTGGACGGTTGGTGTTCGAGTCCCGGTAGGGTCAAGAATTTTCTCTTCTCCATGTCTTCCAGACTGGCTCTGGGGTCCACCCGTCCTCCTATCCAATGGGTACCGAAGGCGCTTTCCCCGGGAGTAAAGCGGCCGGGGCGTGAAGCTGACCACTCACCTCCACCTAGTGTCGAGGTCAAGAAAATGTGGATCTGTACATCCATTCTCTCATACGCTTTCATGGCGTAGTGCTTAATTAGTTAAGCACAGGAACAACTTTACATGTGTCATTCAGACATTTGTGACGTCATTTTAGGGGAGGAGGAGTGGGAGTCCGAGTGTGGAGAAGAACCGCCAGAAGGCGCTGTGTCTGGTTCCACGGAGGATGATATGATACCAGCCACGGCAGGAGGGGAATGTTCCCCCGTTCCTACTGCTGCTGGCTCTTCGTCCTCACCACCACCCTCACTAGCTCGACAGCCCAATGGCGAGATTGCGACCAGCAGTAATCATAAAGGTAAGAAAACAGTTTTAAAGTTTGATATCGTAACTTACTTTCCCGAAATTAAAATGCATGTATTCACAAATTGTTGTATCAGGATTTTCAAGTACGTTATACACTTGCTGTCCTGACATGTGTTTTAGAATTATTTTGTCTCCCTGGGCAATTTTATCTTGGAATAGGCCACACCCGTCTCTTTCCAAATTCTTGAACTACTTAGGTCTATCAATGATATTCATCAGTCATCTTATTCAATGAATATAGCTTCAGAAGTCGCTGCAGGATTAGTAGATAAACTGAGAATCAATCAGTGGACAGAGTGGCGCCGGGGCAGGTTTTCTCCGAGTACTTCGGTTTCCCCTGCCAATCTTCATTCCACCAAATTCTCCATAATCAAAGTCAACCGAGGCAGGTACAATAGGCCAATAAGTGGCCGCAATGCCGAATGAACCCAGCTGGACTCCACCCCCCACTAAGCGAAATTTAAATTTAAGAATCAATCAAGACACTAAGTCCATTACATATTGATAGAACATTCCAGCACTTTGTTTCGATTTAACGTTCTATTATATGTCTTATTTTCACTCTACATAGTATTTTAATTAAATGGTATATGCATGTAGGGGCTACGATGCCTATCATAGTGGCCGCACTGTCTAAGGCATGAACTGCCTTTGATCTCTCGAACGCTGGGATCTCGTGTTCGAATCCCACTCAAGGCATGGATGTCGGTGTGTTTTATTCTGTGTTTTGTGTTGTTGTGTGTGTATGTAGTGGCCTTGCGACGGGCTGATCCTCCGACCAAGGAGTCCTACCGACTTTGTGTAAAGGTAAAGAAAAGTAAATTTGCCCTGTGCTTAACTAATTAAGCACTACGCCATGAAGGCGTATGAAGGAGTGGATGTATAAATCCACATTTTCTTGACCGGCGAAAGAGCCCCTTGTACCCACTGGATATGAGGTTGGGTGGACCCCAGGTCAGTCTGGACGACGTGAAGAAGAGAAAATTCTTGACCCTACCGGGTCTCGAACTCCGACCCCTCGGTCGTCCAGCCCCTATCCAGTCGCTATATCGACTAGGCTATCCCGGCTCCTACCTACTGTGTACAGAATTAAGGAACCGAAAAAGCTGCCGAGGTCTGACAAAGGGCTGCAGAGCCATAGATAGATAGGGCCTACGATAAATTTGTGCTATTTTACAGCTGCCGTCCCAGTTTCCGGTATATTTAATACAATTTTAAGTGTCTCTTTCTATACTTGCAAGTATTAAAATATTTCCAGTACAGCGAGCTACAACTTAAAAATTATTTCATCTCACTTCAAGGTAAAGCTTTCCCTGTGCTTAACTAGGCACCGCACCATAATTGCCTTTGGGGGATTGTGGAACAAATCTACGCTTCCTTAGCCTCGGCACTGTTTAACTTTCGGCATCTTATTTAAATACGAAGAGTGGTTTGTAAACCCTGAATGTGGGGTGGGACTCTTTCTGAACTACACGGTGTTGTAACCCAGAAGACTGTACTCTTAATTTTCACCGCCCTGAGAACCTCATATCCAACATGGATAAAAACGTTTCTTTTTCCCCTCAAAGAAGGCTGTACCGTAGTTGGTTGAGACACTATGCTACAAGCCAGAAGGTCGCGGGTTCGATTCCCGATGAGGTCATTGGATTTTATTATTTATCTAATCCTTCCACCCACATTATGGATCTGGGGCGACTCAGCCTTTGACAGAAATGAGTACCAGGAATATTCTTGGTGGTAAAGCGCCACCGGCGCCTAAGGCTGACAACCTCACCGCCATCTTTTAGACTGTTTTCTAGAAAATATGGGAGCCTCGACATCTCACAGCCCTATGGGTGTTCACGGCCTGTTACTAGGATAGCTTCTCCCCTCAGTTAACACAATTTGTATGCATGTGTTTGCCCGATGTATACGAAAATAATGCGTGATGTGGAGTTAGTCTGCCTTTCCGCTTGTTTCATCCCCAGAACTGTTGAATGAATGTTGGTAAAGTTATCAAATGGGCGATTTAACGTCAGGTAGACTTAATTTTGGTTCGTGTCTGTCCAGCATCCCAAATGCTAATTATTATGGAGCTCAAATTAAGGTTTTGTTTTCAAAGGTTGCTTTTCAGAAAGAAAAGTTTTAAACGACGCAAAATGTTATGCCAGCCGGTCACGGTAGCCGAGTGGTCTAAGGCATGTACTGTCTTCGCTCGCTTGGAAACCGGGATCGTGGGTTCGAATCCCACTCAGGGCATGGATGTTCAGTTTGTGTGTGTGCGTTTTTCTGTGTTTGTGTACAGGTAGAGGCCTTGCGACGAGCTGATCACCCGTCCAAGGAGTCCTACCGAATGTGTAAGATCTAGAAAAACCGAAGTGAACGAAGTTCATGGAGGTAGCCCTAGGCCCACTGGGGCTGTAGTGTCAAGGAAAAAAAATGTTATGCCATCATTTTTGGTTGAAATATTTTCCGATTTGGTGAATATTTGTGGAATATTAAGGAAATCAATTTCTTCTTCTCTGTAATGCCGTACCTGGGGTGTGATATTTGTATGTATTGCAAATGGACACTAATATAAGGGCACGGGTAACTGTGTTTTCGAAAATACAGCAAAGAATGACAGCATTGAATCAAAATTATATTCACGAAGGATTTAAGAGAACATTAAATTCTCATAATTTCCACAGTTCAGTCTAGAATCTTCCATATTACGTCTTCCCTCTACTTTACGTTTTTTTATTTTTCTGTTGGATGATAGGTAATATTGAATTAGAAAGGGCGTGGAAGGAAGCGGCCATTACTTGATTTAAGATACTATCCTGTCATTTTCCTCAGTCAGGATAGTTGGTGAAACAGCCCAGATGCGAAACGAGCACCCCCAAAATAGAAGTCAGAAGCGTTACCTCGTGCTTCACATGCCCGACCTCCTCTCTAGAAATGTAAATATTAGAGTAAGGAAAACTTGAGTGTTACCTGTTCTATGCTATGGCCGTGAAATCACTTTAATCGGAGAACCAGTCAGAAATATTGGTACAGTCTGTGGACGAAGTACTGAAAAACGAACGCTTAGACAGGAGATGAATTAAAATTTCGCGTTAAACAACAAAGATGGGAAGATATTTTATTGAAGTAAGCCTGTCATGAAGAGTGATCGGATTGTACTCTGTGCGGAGACCCATCCCAGAAGTAACTTTCTTATTTAGACTAGTGTGTCCGAAAATCTGCTATTGCATTAAAGGATGTGAGGTTCTCACACAGGTGGTTATGAAGAACTCTGCTTCAGTGTGGGTTCTTGGCTGGCATATTCTTCGACTTGCTGATGGAGCGACATGCTCCACTGGAAAGTCATTTGATCATCAACGGACTGCACGGCCCTGTATCCCAGAAGACTGCTTTCTTCATAGTCACCGCCGTGAAAGCCTCAAATCTTACATTCTTCTGTGATTGTTTGTGATTTAATCAAATTGAAGAAAGTATTCCATTATTTCGAAGTCATATTTAATAATCAACTCGATTAAAGCATAGGGCATTAACACAGTCATAATTCATCCTTATCTTAAGGGCGAATTTTTAACTCGAATAAAATTTCTCTTTAAAAGTCATTTCCTAAAAGAGTAGGTTGTACGGTCTGTGACACAGAACAATGCTTTGAAGTTGCATAGCTTAATTCTCCATTCAGCGTGGGTAAAGCATATTTTCGTATTGCGTTTTTGATTTTCGAGTATTTATTCTTGATTCCAAGAACAACCTAGCCTCTTACCGTCACATCATATGCGGTCAAATGTGTGCATGTATGTACTTAGCTGAAGCTCCTAGAGGATCCATTTATGGCTTAACACTAGATAATTTCCACTCGCTTACTTGAGAGCATATAGCTTTCCTTCTTGTTTTTCTTGAATGAACAGAACTTGGCTGCTACTGCTGCTTCTAATAATAAAAAAGGGCAAGCTAATGTAACTTAACGTCTCCTGAGAATGGGATAGGGAAAGTTGGTGAGTGACTGTGAGAGGTTAGGATTTGAGTGATGGGACGATAAGTAACGAAAGCAGGAGCCCTAATAAAAAGAGGAAGTGGGGAGACGGAAGAGGAGAAACTGGCAATAAGACTTCGGGCATACACCGTGTATACAAGGAAGGCAAAGCTTACTGCGTTGTACACGGGTTTTGCATTAAGAATGCCTAATCTTGCGAAGCTCCTGCTACACGGCGGTTAGGTGGTATGGGAGGACAGCTAGCCTTACCTGAGAGGGAAGCAGATGCGTCTTCTCAAGACGTGGTGAAAGCTTCATGAGACCATCTGTATAACACTGGGTACACCCACTGCCATATCTAACTGGCTGGCCAGTAGACCATATAATCTACATTTAATATGGGAACCAAGATAAATCGGAAACACTGAACTATGAACACGAAACATACCTTCTATTTAATAAAGAAGACAATTACGGGCACGCGGTAGCGTAGTGGTTAAGGCACTATGCTACAAGTCGGAAGGTCGTGGGTTCAAATACTGAGTACCAGGAATTAATTAAATAATTTTCCTGGGGAGTAAAGCGCGGCCGGCGCGTAAGGCTGACAACCTTCCTGCCATCTTTGAGCCGATTGTCTAGATCAGGGGTCTCCAAACTTTTCGAACCGCGGGCCACATTAGGTAATTCAGCACTTTCAACGGGCCGGATAAAATGAGAAATTAATAACTCTAGGTATAGAGTTTTATTGAAAGCACAGAATTTCATAAACTAAATACAAAGTACGTGAGAATAAATTATCGTNGCTCAGAGTTCAGAAATTTATAAAATTAGATCAGATTTCCTTCCTTGTACGAGTATTTGTCTTTAATATAATAATTTTTCTGAAGTTCAGTAATTTCCATTTGAATTTGACTTGGGACATCTGCAGCATCACAGTCAAACGGATTTTGAAACAATCTAATTTCCTGAGCACTGGAATCCAAATCAGCAAATCACTTCCGAAATTGTTGCTTCAAATCTGAAATGACTAAATTTGCAAA